TCAATTATTCACAGACTGAGTAGATGTTGCACTTGTGAAGTGGCTTTCTTCTCCATTAACAATACTAAATCCTAGAAATTTCCACCTTTGCTACTGAATTTTGTGATCCAGAGACAGGCATCTCACAAACCTAATTTCCAGAGGCAGGAGATCAAGATTCTAAAAGGCAGATTCCACTATATATTCAGGACCAGACAGAAAGCAAATGCTCCAGAAAAGGCAGGTTGGAAGTCCAAAGGCTAAAGTACATTTGAAGCTGAGATCTAAGGTTAACAGATGTGATAAGGGAAGACCAGAAGCAAATTAAAAATCAGGCATCTGTGACTTTGAAACAGCATTTTGAAAAAGGGACAAGGGTTTAAGTTCTCACAGTGATGTAATACAATTCCAGTCTGGTTTTAGACTATAAAGATTTTCACAATGGTTTATGTACAGCTGATGAAAAAAGAATCCCTTGCCTGTAAACCTATAAAATTTAAAAATCATGTCGCAAAAGGAAAAAAAGGATGGCAAGCAAAGAAAAAAGCAGATGGTTTAGGTCCAATTTTTCGTGTTAAATAGCTGCTCTTATAGAATGGCCAATGGATTCAAGGAGAGAAGATAATAAAGCTGTGTTTTCAGCAGGAAGAGAAAATTGCTTTATTTTATTTTTTTCCCATCTTTCTGTTGCTAGTAACTGACAAAAATTGCAGGTTCCTAAAGGCAATTTGATGGAATTAGTCTTTTGGCAAGACTAAAGAGAAGTCATGTGTGTTCAGGAACTAGCTCTTTTATACCCCTGGCTTAAAATAGGTTTGAAATGTGAGTCAGCTGATAAATCTTTGTGCAACTAATCCTACTGACGTAGAATCTCTCTTAGCCCATGGAATTTAATTTACCCAACTACTGTAGTAAACTGGTGGGCCAGTACAGCTGATGAAATCCTGGAACGAAGAGCTGAAATGTGCAATTTCTCATTCTCCAATAATGCAATGTTTGCACATTTTGCATCAAGTGTATTATTATTATGTAAATGCTGTGGAGACAAATGTAGCTCTTCAACATTGGAGTAAGGGAGGGTGAAGGTTTTTGTTCTATTTTGTTTTTAAAAAGATGGATCTGAATGCCCAGTGAAAGTCTCATTCAGAATAATAATAGTTGTGATAGATCCCTTGGGTGCAATCCCCAAACATCTAAAGCACCACTTGAACTCCATTGGCATTGACAAAAATCACCCTCAGTCAATTGCAAAAGGCAGCTTTACTTAGGAGTAGATAATATTTTGTAACCTATTCAAACAACATCGGGCTATCCCTGGTCCTTGGAAAGAACTTGGTAGGTGGATAAAAATGCCAAATCTAGTGTAATCATCATGCTGACTGTTTGACCAATAACAACAACAACAACAACAACAATAATAATAATAATAATAATAATAATAATAATAATAATAATAATAA